GGGCGAGCTCCGGATGCGTCGCCTGCAGACCAAAGGAGGAGGAAAGGGAGATCCCAAAGGAGACCCCAAGCGCGAGACGAAGGGGGATCCGAAGGGAGACAAAGGGGGCAAGAAAGGAAAAGGAGGCAAAGGGAAGGAAGCCCCCCCACCAGTGAGGAGGGAGCGACCGGCTACGGCCGTGGGTCAAGCTAACCCTCCCGAGGCGGTGGCTACGGGGAGCCAGCCTCGGCCCTGAGCTCGCTGTTGTCCGATGGGGTCCTTGACTTTGACCTCGGGGACCTGGGTGACAGTGATGATGAAGGCCTCCCCACGGGGAAGAATTTGAAGCCGTTCTGGGCGGAGATCGCCAAGAGAATCTCCATGGAAGAGTGGAGAACGAAGATGAAGAAGGCGATGGATAGAGAGCCCAAGCTCAAGTGGGTGATGCCATCCTGTCCCTCAAGACGGCCCTTGGGAACTTCGCTCGCGCACACGCGACCCCGGAGGAGCTGCCCCCGGGCGACGAGCCCACTTCACACCGCAGCCGTCGAGGACAGCACGGGGACCCTGATGCCTATCCACCCTGCCCTTGTGGTTCAAGGCCTGGAGGGAATCTCCACAGACAACCTCCACTGGGTCCGTCTTATTTTGTTAGGGCTGGACTTCATGTACTGTTCGGCGTGGTCAAAGGCAGTTTGCGTGCCAATGGCACGGGTTCTCACCGCCAACCAGAAGGAGGCTATTAAGCGAATTGGAGAGCAGGTGAACCGCCTCATTTCGCGAGAGGACCGGCTACCTCCGGCCAAGGCCGCGGCTGCCAAGCTGTGTTCCAAGAAGTTTGACTACAATGGTCAGCCGGTGGAGCGCATGAGGGACCTCGTTGCTGAGAAGGTCCTGAAGGCCTGGCCAAGGGTCGGATCCGCGGCGGTGGTTGACTTGAGAGACTGCCTGCCGGAGGAGCTGAGGACAGCTCTAGACCGGCCGCGAGATTTCTTGCTGCCCGAAGCAGAGCTCCCAGAGAGGCATCGGGGCTCCAAGGTGAGAGCCTCCGATGAGGAGTGGCGCAAGATTGTGAAGGCCGGTTACGACCGAGGAATGTTTGTAGCAGTGGACGACCGTGAGGTGCCCCGGGACAAGCAGGGCCACCTCATCACGAATGGCGCTGGGGCTGTGGTGAAGATGAAGAAAGAAGGGGGCCGGGATGTAGAAGCCCAACGCTTTATCTCGGTTCTTTGCCCCACCAACGATGCGATGAGGCTGCTGCCTGGAGCCCAAGATAAGCTCCCTTACAT